ACAGTACCAGTAATAAAATATCTAGAGTTAGGAGTTACTGCCAGGGCTAGTATTCACAGAAGTTTAGGAGATTGCTTAAGGTATTAGCTTGTGGGTCTTTTTGTCCCACCGAATTCAGTATAGCTGATCAACATCTGTGGTCTTCTCTTTCTTTTGTTTGCTGAACTTCTTGCTCTATGAAGGATATTTTTTATTTGTGTAGCCTGACCGAGAAATGCTTCTGACGCAATTTTGGTTCAAACAACTCCTACCAATGCAATTTGTTAAAGTACTTGCTTCTCCTGTTTCTGCCAGCAGACTTCAGTGGCGCAGAGGGGAATATGCAGCTGAAATGAGTAGGTTGCTGGAGTCTATAGGGATCAGATTTCCATATGAAATGCAGGCACCATTTCAGTAACATTTTCGAGAAACAGATGGTGCTTGGGTTGCGTTATATCTTGGTTGGATCAGCTGAATTTAGGGTATTAGAAATATAAAATAATTAGTTGAATTGTGAGTAGCAAACCTATTCTTGCTCCTGTGTTACCCAAAATGTAGCCCAAGGTCAGCTACAGCCTGCAAAGTTCTTTTCTATCTTGCACATTACCAGACAGGGCAAAAGCAAGTGATTACTCAAGTAACAGAAAACTGTGGTGTCAAAATGGGAAGCAGTTTCTGTTTTGAGAGAGAAAGGCATGAGCAAATACAGCTGTTTACCTTGGAAGTATGCAAGATGACTGCTACTTAACTTCTTACTTGTCATGGTCTGCTTTAATCAGAGGTTAACAATGGTGTAATTGTGCTCCCAAGAGCCGGTTCAGTCTTTCCTGTGGTAGCTCCCTGAAGGAGCTGAACCAGTGTGACCACTGAAACCTTGTCTTTACAGGTTGTATGGTGGGATGAACTATCGGCGGCTGGGAGGAGGAGTAGGTGTTATCAAAATGACACACTGTGAATCCCATATATGGTAAGCATCAAGAGGGAGGGAGACCCCTTGGTTCTCATTCCTAGAAAAACTGAAGAGACTTGTTGACACTGGACCTCTTTGCAGCTCTAGTATGCACGGTCTAGATCTAATGTTACTCTTTGCCGGTGACTCTTTCTATGGAATTAAAAAATGACTTCTGTGAGAGTATGCCCAATGGGAGACCACGTTGTCAGACTCCAGGGAACCACTGGACAAAAGTAAAAGTGTTGCTTATGTCCATATTTTTTCTAAATAGTCTACATTTTTGAATAAACCAAACTGTAAAAGTTACTGTAGCGTAAACAATGCTGATGTAGAGACTACATGCTATACTGGGAGTCTGGCAAGGAGGAGGGTTTCCGTCTTTCCCTCCTGCTGTGTGAGCAGTGGATGTGGCAGCTGTGTGGTGGGTGAAAGAGGAAAGTGATACAGAAAACATTGCTTTTGCCTTATTTACAGAGAGCTTCAAAAAAGTACTTGACCTGCAAGGTGCCACCTTTGCACAGAAGCTTTTCTGTGCACAGAGTATATTTATTTTTTCATTTAATTTGTATCATGTATTTTCTTTGATCGCTCACAGCGATAATTCCAGCTTTTTATATACATATATATGTGTGCATATATATATGTATTTTATATATGTATATGTGCGTGTGCGATTTGAGTTTTGACAAGCTGGTGGTTAGGGCAGGGCTATGTCCTGCCAGCTATTGTGGTTCCAACCCTTGTGGTATGTTTTAGGGTCTCTTAGAGTGCAGGAGAGCTATGAGATTGGGTGCCCTGAGTATCTTTTCAGTCTTGCTGGAGGCAAGAAGTAGAACTGGAACTCTCATCTATCGACTGAATCAGTGAAGTGCCCAAAAAGGGTGAGAGTGAAAAGGATTTCAGATGATGCCTTTTTACTGTACAGTGTATGGTACAAAAGTTCAGCTTTTGTCTCTCCCCTCCCCTGTATATGAACCTAGAACCAACTAGTTGTTGCTTACTTAAAAAACCCTTTTCCTCATGTTGCCTGATAGATATCAGTTCTTGTCTGAAGCTGGGATGCAGGTATCATCTGTTAATTCTGACTAGCCTAGATCAACACTCACTTCTCAGGTTCTTGCTAGCATGGCAGACCTGCAGTCAGTTCCTGCTGAAAAAAATTTAGACCAGCATCATCGTAGCTGCCCTCCTGCCTCTTGTCTGTGTCTTTAGAATTCCTGTTGTAGAACACTGACCATGATGAGATGGTGCCCTCCCTTTTAGTGATTTCTATGCACTTTGCCTGTGTTTAGAGCAGGGAAAGGTATGAGGCTCATTAAAGAGTTTGGAGGGGAGGGACTGCATGCTGGCACTGTGAGTAACTGTCATGTTTCAGGGGCTGCAGAGGCACCTAGGGGTGGGGGGAGAGGAAGGAGGAACTCTAGACTCAAAGGTTCCGATATGTTTGTACTGTAATTTCTATCTAGTATGAAAGAATGACCTTTTGCACCTGGTGCAACTTTGGACCTTACTAAATCTGATTTTAAAAGAGTAAGAGGACTGTAAATTCTTGAGATGAAGAAGGCAGTGCTGACACCTTAAGTTCTTTAACTTCATAGTTTGATTCATGTAACTCAGATTTTAATGTGCTTGAATATAGTAAAAATTACAATACAGTAATAAATGGGTCATTAAAACTTTTTTAAAAACCCCTTTTCCCCTAAAGGTTGGTATTCTTGTGTTTACATATGAAGATCATTTGCACCTTTACAAGGAAAACAAGTATTCTGTAAACAAATGTTTACATGTATCATTTATGCTTTTTTCTAGCATGAGTAACTTGTATAAATAGTGCTATCTTAATAAATTTCTTCTATGCTGTTCTTTGTTTGTTCCTTTGGGTGAAAGCAGTGGACTAAGCTTTTGTATAGTTTATGTGGACACAGATGCTCTGTTGGTTGTTTGGGGTTTTTTTGTTTTGTTTTTGTTTTTTCAGATACCAGTCCAAGTAAAACTGGCTTAAAACTCTGCTGTTTAGTGTCACCCTCAATTGCTTAGAAGTACATCATTCAGAACTAGCTTTTTCTGGAAGAAAGCATCTGTACTATCTGGCTAAATCTAGCTCTGTTCCCTTAACTGCATTTACCAATGAGGGCTATACCCCAATTTGCAGATAAGTGTGTAAAAAAGAGAACGTAGCCTTTTATTCCAGCAATACCTTACAGCTAGGCTGTAGTAGATACCACACATACCTAGCAAAGCATCACTCTTGAAAGCTGAGTAAGGCTGTAGTTGCTTTTAGTCTGTGTTCTTAAGGCAAGGAAGAGGTTAAAAGAGGGTATATGGAATTTATTTTTTTTTAGAGATTATTTATGCAAATTTGTTGGAAAGAGCTGAGCATAGATTTAAAACTAAGCCAGGGGTGTAACAGTCCTGTTTTCAAATCAAATACAGGTGCCACTTATGTCAGACCTCCTGCTTTACCCAGTGTTCCTCTGAACTGAGAAAGCAAACTTTGTCTAAGATGTTTCATAAAAGAAAACTAAAGCACCAGAAGTGATAGTTTAAATAGCTGCTTAGCTGTCATGACCTTCAGAAGATTGCTTAGCTGCTTCTACCAGGGTAAGAGTTACCACTTTACAGACTGCAACATTTACATGCAAAAATAATCAGTCTTCAACTAGTAAACAAAAACTAAAAACAAGTACATGTTTCTTTAATCCTGGAAATAGATTATTAAAAGTATATTAGGAACTCAATATGCAATTATATCATGTTAGGCAGTTACATGTTTGCATGGCTGGTTCATCTCAATGTTGCTGGGGAGAAGAATGAAGAATGTTTTTAGTGACAGCTGACAAATCCTGAAATTAGGTGGTTGGGCAAAGAAGGGAAAACTTGCATCCCTGCTTCGGGGGAAGGTCACAGCACAAACTCAGACTTTAGAGATGCTACACATGTGTGAAGCCATTACAAGAAAATTGTATAAAAACCCTAGACTTTAAATTTTGCTGTTCACAGAATTATTTAATAGGTAACAATTTGTAGTTTAGTCAGGTAAGTTATAGTTGGAAAGAAGTACCATACAAGTATATATTTAATCAGGCATAGGTGGTCTTTACTTTGCTCAAGACCAATCTATTGGCAAAAGATGGCAAATACTTATTTAGTACTGTAATACCAAAATCATAATACTTAGCATGCACTTATTCTACTTCCTTTCTGCTCCTTTAAGCTATAGCCAGGCATGGTGCACTAGCTCTCTGAAATCCTACCTGCTGTAGAAGGGAGAGATCTAGCATACAACTTCAGCACCCATAGCTCCAACCCCAAGAGCTCTCTAGCCTAACAAGATTACATCCAAGATGACAAACATCAGCCAAAGCATAGTAAATATCTAGCTTACACACAGACCTCAATTTCCTATATATTAACTTGTCTGAGAGGACCAACAGGCTGGACACCGAAGGCAGTTGTCACTCTCATGCAGTTCACCTTAGCCCAACTGGGACATAGATGAACACTTTAGGACCATTACCAACTAGCCTAACTTCCTTTCTAGCTTGCTAAGAAACCTGGATTTTTCTGCCCTGGATTGTAGAGCATGCACCCTTTCTCAGGTGTGCTTGACTTTGCATTTAGATCAGCCCAGAAGTAGTCACAGTTTAGGTAAGGCTAAGGTCTGTAGAGCTTAGGCTATCTAGTTAAATGAAAACCAACTTGCTTATTTGAAACAACTGAAATACCTGTCAGTAAGTTGCATCCAAGAATTTGCAAAGTTTATCTCCTAGCCCCTGGCTGATATCTATACATAAATGAACAGAGTGGCTATAATAAAACAAAGGTGCTTAACAAGCTATTAGAAGTTTGTACTGTAGCCCTTCTTTAGGGCAAAATGTCCTCTTGTCTTCACTGTGCATGGCATTGAATTACAGCTAGTTATGGAGTTGAGTGCAGGAGTTGAAGTCCAACATTGGACAGCCAGCATGAAAGGAAAGAATATGCTGCAGGAGCAAGTTTCCAATTGGTTTGTCAGCATATACCTTGCAAAACTAAGTCTTTTTAGCATGAAGGTTTGCTGAAATGACTCTCACTCTATCTGAGAGATTGCTAGTTCTGTCAGTAGCATCAACACTCCAGTTAGGTATTGGCTTTGTAGAAACTGCAAGGAAAAAAAAAAAAAGCATGTCAAAACAAAAATTGCAATTGCCAGATTTCCGCACCCTTAAATGGCTGGAAACCAACTACCCAGTGTTCCATGTGATTAGTCAGCTTCTCTGTTGTTGTTTGCAAGGTACCTTTGTTACTATTTTGACCCTGGATATGCCTACAGGCTGCTCCTTTCAGAGCCCTCTGACTTCTGCTCCTGTCCCACATGAAGCAGGGTACATAAGAAATGCCCTGCTCCTACTCCAGCTTTTTGGAAGGTGAGAATCTTAGCACTTCTGCTCCTTTGGCTGCCCCCATCCTCCTGTAGGAGGGCCAGGAAGGAGACTATGCCAGTTTCCTTGAATACCCCTATTGTCCCATACTGAATATATGTCTGACTTGAACTCATAATCCACATTAGGGAAGAGCCATAACTAAGTTTGCACAACGCAGATTCCGGAAGAGAACACTGCTTCTTCAGAAAGCCTATTCAGTTGAGTATTTTACTTTCCGGCAACAAAAAAAAAGTTGTTTCAGCCACTTTCAAACTACTACAGATAAAACCAAGCAATGTAACACTAACATTTAGTAGTTTGCAGTTGTCCTATCAAAGGCCAAAATGTTAAGAGATGCTTCCCAGCAAAGCTTTTTTTCTTTCATTTGATGAACTCATGCTCCGGGGAAGAGGTGCATGAGCGGAGTCCCAGTTGTAGCTTCTAACATTCCCTCTGTACCCAGAACAATGAAGTCAGTACATCACAGACAAAGTTTAAGCAATTGCATTTACACAAACTGTTCTGTAACTCAGAAGACCATATTGTATTGCTTGAAGAAACTTCATGAAGGATTAATCCTCCATGGTTTTAAAGGATATTGTAGATACCTCTATAGGAAGACCAGCACCTTTATGAAAAGGGTTACAAGTGAAATAGTTTCAAGCAAGGTGTTTTGACTCTTAAGATTATCTGTTCTCTCTTGGCTCATCCACACTCCAGTTATTTTTGTATAGTAGCTTACTTATATTTGTCTTCTGCTTGTGTCTTAACAGCTGGAGTACTAGAAAGCTAATGAACTTTTTTTTTAAGGTTTTTGATTAAGTTTGAGATCTTTTTAAGCCTAAGTTTTGACCAATACCAATGGACAAAGAAACTTCCCGGTTTGTACTGCATCTAATACACCTATTTCTGACCCAAGACTAGGTTTAGTAGCTTCTGCTGCAATACAGTGCTAAAAAACTGTATTGATAGCTGCCTCAGCTCCAGAACTAATTACAACTAATAAAAGCTGAGGGTTTAACAACTTCTTGTAGGAAATTATGCATAAGAAACATGAAACCTTCATTTTTAAAAGTAAGGCATTTCTAGACAGGCACAGCTATTTTATTTGTCCAGCATTAGTTAGGACAACATGCTACTTAAAACCTCACCTTTATAATCCCATCACAGTGTGCTGAGGCAATTGCTGTAGAAACTTTCACCAGTTTTGTAGCTGACAAGTGGATCCTAAAGTGTCTGTGGAAGTGAGAGTAAAGGCAGTCCATAAAGACATCCACCTCTTCTTGAATGATCTCCCCTGGAGTTTTTTGGACTGTGTCCCACAGAGCTTTTGCATCCTCTGGATGAATGGCATATGAAATATCCAGAGGCTGGGGCAGACAGGGGACAGAGAAAACGAGTTCCATGGCAGATGCAGTTTTGTCCACTTTGCATCCAGTCCACATAGCTGCCATCCAACTGAGAATGAGAGGGCTGATGGCTAAGCGGCGGAAGGAGCAGTCAAAAGTCTTCTGAAACCAACTTCCAACAATGGACGTGTAACACTCTGCCCCATTAACAAGAAACAGAGGTAAACAAGTGAAGTCCTCTGGCACATTCTTGGAAAGATCGTCTCCAGACACACAGCAGAACCAGCCTGACCATATCAGTTTCTCTTCTGAGTTTTTTGGGGAAGCTGGTGATCTTGAAGAAAGCTGGGATGGGGAAAAGAAGTATTTGAATGCTACAGAGCAAGTCTGACTTTTTTTAGCCAAAAATGGTTTTTGTTTTATAATTTCAAGTATTTGCTAGAAGTTTTTTCTCAGGACCTCGCATGCAACATTCTTTTCTGTAAAGCTCATACAGTTTACTCAGTCTGTCTGTTATATTCCTAAAAGATGCATGCAATTCTGTTGAAAATAGCGGGAAAAGCACTTTTTACTTCACTAGGAACAGTCCCGAGATCTGAATTTATGCTGCTTAATTCAGAAGAGCCAATCCACGGTACATCCTATAACCATTGCCATACTGAACTTGGCATTTCAGTAGCATCTTCTGCTTGAGGCAAAGCACTTCAGAAATATTATTTAGGCTGGAGCTACAGCCAGGAGGTAGGATTATACCAACTTTATCCAGGAAGCTAAATAACTTGTCTGAGTTCTTGCAGTAAATTGACTGCTGAACTGAAAAATTAGACAAAGATTACTCCTTGTAGTCTTACTCTGATCTTATCAAAGAGTTGAACTCAAAATTGCAATTAAGTGTATCCATTGCTTATGTGATGTTCTGTTCCAGTTAAAAATAGGCAGGACTCACTTTCATTAAATCTCAACAGGTACTGCAGTAGTTATTCCATACAGCTAGGGTTTAGTTGGTGTTTTGTTTTGGTTTTTTTTAAGAGGCTGAGTATTTTGTGACAGCTAAAGCAACTCGTAAAATGCCAATCTCAATTACAATTATCAAAACTACTAGAAGACTCCTTACCTGCACGAGAATCGCAGCCTGGTCTTGGTCACTACCTTTCAGGTATGGGAGGCTGGAGACAGACACTTTGATGTCCAGCTCAACCCCTACTTCCACCGCCAATCCCTTCTGCTTCTCGGCAGCGATAAAGGAACTAAGCAGCCTCGCGTAATCCCTCAGGTGAGCGTTAGAGAATCGGTACAGAGGGGTCACGCTGTACAAGGTCCACTGCTTGCGCAGCAGAAACGCTGTTCTCTGGGGATCTGCGTTTTCCTAAAAAAAAAAAAAGCAATAAAAAAATTCAGACGATAACATTAAAACCCAACAAACAAGGATAGCTTCCGCCTTCAGGCCTTGCGAAGGGGCCGCCGCACGGCGGCCGTGTGCCCGAGTAGGGGCGGTTTTGCGCCGGGCAGCGCCGCGGGAGGCGGCAGTACTGAGGTGGCGGAGAGTCCCGCCGGCGCGGGGAACGGAGCGGGACCGAGCTCGGCTCAGGGACAAGGCCCGGCGCCGGCGGGGCCGCCCGCCGGAGGGGACAAGTAGGTTCCTCACCACCACCCCCCCATCCCGGCCCGGCCCGGCCCTACCTGGGAGCGCGGCGCCAGCGGGAGCAGCGGATCCCTAGAGCTAAGGCCGTGCGCCCGCCCAAACGGCAGCCCCCGCGACAACCGCCCGAAGCTGAGCAGCGTCCGCGCCACCCCCTCCACCGACTCCATCACCGACACCAGCCCCGGTGGCGCTTCCCGCCGGGGGCCGTTTGGACCCCCCTCCCCGTCAGCCCCGGCGGGGCCCCGCCCCGGCCGCCATGTTTGTGGCGGGCGGAAGCGGAAGGAGGAGGAGAAGGAAGTGGTGGCGGCAGTAGGTTTCTTCGGCCCCGCCGCTCCGCCGTGGCTCAGGGCGAGGAGGCCTTTCCCCAGTGAGCGTGGGGGGGAGCTGGGGGCCTCCCTGCCACTCCCTACCGGTGCCCCAGTCTGTCCCCGCCCAGGCCACGGGCAGGGCTGCCTCTGAGGGGGAGAGGCTGAGGCTCGGGGGCTGGCGCTTTTCCTCACGTGTCTTTATGTTTAACGACGCGCAGGTTTGTGACGGTCTCCTGGTGTTTCTGGTTTAAGTGTAGGGCTGTAAGATGGCTCTTCCCCGACTGCTGCCCAGGGCGCTGGCCCCGCTGGCCCAAGGGCTGGCCCGGCCGGGCTGCGAGCGGGCTCTGCAGCGGGCGGCCTCTGCCTCGGCTCCGGCGGCTCCAGGTGAGAAAGGAGCGTTTGTCTTATCCCCACTGCCTCCTCCGGGCTGTGGTTGCCTTTCTTTTTTCCCGGGACCCAGGTCAGGGTAGTCTGCACAGGTGATTAAAGGCACGCTTGTGATAAGTTGTTTTCCCTGGATCACTTCTTAAAATGTCTTCTCTAAATCACGTTTTTATTTGGTTTTTGGCATCTCACGGTGAATTGTGATTCAAAGTATATCAAAACCATTTTGTCTCGTTTTCTTTTTATTCCTGAGCTTTTACTTTGCTTTTGTGACCCTCTTTCTTCTGTAGCACACAACCTGTAAACAACAAGGGTAGCTGAATGCCTAACAATAGTTGGAAAACAAACCTTCATGACCTCTACTTTACACCTTTAATTGTAAAGGCTGTGATGAAGGTAGTAAGGGAGCATGGTTCATATAATTATATATGTCTAGGTATTAACATCCTTCAGATTTCTCCTTGCAAGCTGAATCTCTGGCACGTTCTGTAAACAGTGTGCTTGGTTTTATAACTAAGTCATGATGCCAGGTGCACTGGGGTCTGTGGAAAGTCTTCTATAATCGTGGTTCAGGCCTTTTATCAGTAGTTGCAGGCAGGAAGCTGTTCAATTTACACCTACATGGTGCATGTTATTTTGTTTCAGTCTTGGCTTGTCAAGCCCCTTATCTCCAGTGTCTTCTGGATTCGAATGTGGAATTGTCAGCGTGCCTCAGGAATGATTTGCAGCTTTCCCTTTTCTTGCCCCTGAAATTTGCAGGGCAACAGTTTGCAGCAAGACTGTGCTCAGGTTTCTGTATGGAAGTTTGAATGAGACATAGAAATAATCCCTCTTAAAAGCTTGTTTAGAATAATTTCATGTCCTTAGGTCTTATTGGGCATATATGAAGTAATTTCTTTGTGTATGTCTAAATTGTATTGGGATGGGGGGGAACTCTGTAACTGTTTTGTCTCAGTTGTCTGCAAAAGCCATGAAAGATTTTATTATTTTTATTCAAGACTTCAATAGTTTTGTCATTCGGACCAACACTTGTGGAGAGCTGCGTTCTGCTCATGTGGGGCAAGAGGTCACACTGTATGGATGGATTCAGTATCAAAGGTAAATGTAAACCAAGGTGAAAATGGAGATACTTATTTGCCAGATCCAACGTATGCTTTAGGCCTGGATTCAACCACTTTCATGTTATCTTTTCATATCCTGCAAAAGTCACTTCTGAAGTGAGTAAAACAGTTGAGACCAGATCAGTATTTAAAATTTCAGAGTTTCAAGCAAATCTTAATTGTTATCTTCATTACATCACTGTAAAGCAGTTAAATATTATTAACCTTGTTGTATAGGAGAGAAAACAAGTAATAGCATATTTATAGCAATTCTAACAGCTGTAAGCAAATAACTTCTTTTATATAATGTTCTTAAACTTTAAGCAAACAATATTGTTTGTCTTTTCAACTATAGCATCTAATGATGTGTATTTAAAGTATGCAAGCTTTGCTTAGAAAAGGAGTATAAAGAAAAGGTAGTAAGCAGAGGATGAAATGTTAATTCCAACAGTTTGCTATAGGTGGCGTGGTATAATCACTCCTAATGGAGTTGAACGTTTTTTAAATGTAGACTGAAAGGCGTGTCTGCATACAGCATAGATGATGCTCCGAAATGTTCTGTTCCTGCATGTGTGCTTGTAAAACGGAGATAGGTCCTGTGGCTTTCATGAAGTTAATTTGTATCAAAAGTTGCCTTTTTGCATTTTATGGTCTAGAGAGGCTGGTTTTTATCCAGCATTGTTCTGCAATGATAGTCTGCATGGTTTATTTTTTTTAGGAGGTCCTGAGCATCTCATCTTTGAACAGTCATGGGTGGAGTTCCAGGAAACAGAGCTAGGATTGTTGCAATGTGATCATTATGCTCTTGCTTTTAAAGACAGCCGGAGCGTGTTCTATTTGACAGCTTCTTGATAGATTAAGTACAATGGTAGCTGTCTCTACTGCAGCTGAAGAGGTCAAGATTTATGATTCTGGGTCTAAGAGTGTGGATTGTTCATGTGAAATTTTTTATGGGACCAATGTTGTTCTTGTTTTGTAGTTGGGCTTTTTTTTCTGTATCCATGTGAACTTTAGTTTTATTGCTCATCTAAATGTGTTTATTTGAACGATGCTTCCCAGCAGGAAATTGCACGATTTCAGAATCCCTGCTCTACAGGGATTAATGTTCAAGTTAAAATCCTGCCTTTCTTGGTTATTTGCACATTGTTGGTCTGTGGCTGGGCAAAATCTGAAACAAATTGTTCAGATTAGATTCAGATGTGAGAAAAGCATCTGTACATACATTACTTGGAAGTGCTTTGACATTAGTCACAAGGTACAGAAAGTAGCTAGTTACCATGTGCTTTGGCTTAAAAAGCAGAAGAATACTGAATTCTTGTAAAAATGTTTTTCCTTTTGTGTTTTTCATGGATCAGACAAGGCCTGTTTCTGGTTTTGAGGGATTTCCAGGGACTGACCCAGATCATCCTTCCACAGGATGAGGTAAGTGCTACCAAAATATGAATCTCTTTTATTTTCATTTTTCCTTTGGTAGCTTGAGTCCATCAGACGTGGAGAGCGGAGTGAAGTACTCTGTCAGACTGAGTGCTCTGACTCACAAGTAGATTTAAGCGTTATGAGAGCTCTGATCTGACACTGCAACAGAAACGTTACTGCTGTTTCCTCTGGCTTATGAGGAGTGATCCTGGATTCAAATGGGCTGTTAAGAAGTAAAGCCCTTGAGCATGGTGCATTTGTCTTGTTCTTTGAATTTCTGTGAGACATTGTCATCTTCTTGCAGGCACATTCCCATGTGAAGAAGCTCTTGTCTAATGCCCCAGTGGAGTCTGTTGTGCGAGTGACTGGAATTGTGTCCTCTCGGCCCCCAGGACAGGAGAATCCGGTGAGGATGTTGGGGTCTCTCAGGGGTTTTATTCCTTGTGGAAAAGAACACTGGATAGTAGGATTATGGTGGGTTTTGTGTCATAGCTTTGCCGTGAGTTCCAGGTGTGTGACAACCTATCCTCAGATAATGTGAGGTGAAATAACTGCTATGAGATGTAACTTAGGAGAACCTCAAAGCACATTACAGACACCCATGAATTAAACTGTATTCCAGCCCTTTGAAAGGATAATGGCTAGCTTTTTCAGGCTTTCAAAGTGTGGTTGAGAATTTCTTTTTCTTGAAAATAAGTATTGTCATCACAAGTTCCACAGCATGTGATGACCTATTTCTCACTCGGAATAGATTTTACTGTTCTCATTGTACAGGAAACAGAGGTTGAATAATTTCTTAATGCTATGCATTCCTCAGGTCTTATTGTACTCAGCCGTAGATTAATATATCAGGGTTGTATGTATCCCATCACTGGCAGACCTAAAAAGAGAATGTGGATTTATGACCGTAACTTGTTTTGTTCTGACCGGTTACAGATGTCCATAAAGAATGCAGGCTTCAAGCAATGCTTTTATTTCTTTTAATCATGTATCATTTTGTTGGAAGGTTGTATATTCTTCCCCCTGGTAAATAGAAAGAGTTCTGTATGATCAAATGAACTTTGATGTGGCACAGTGCTAAGTGGGGAAAGCTGTCTGTTCTCCCTTGGGATCTAAGAAAAAGAAGGCTATTTCTGAGAACTGGTATTCAGAACTGGAACTTCTGAGAAGTTCCTCACAAGTTGCCTTTTTTGACCTATATTAAGGACTGATGGAGATGCCGCTAATGCACACTGAAATGTAAGCTAATGGAACTAGCATTTTGTCCACATGCATGTGCCCTAGCAGGGTCTGTGCCTGACTGTTCCTCTGTCCTCAGCATGTCCTTCAAGGAGAAGGCAAAGGAAAAGTAATTTCTCATAGAGATCAGTATGCTACTAGGAAAGTGCACACCCTCTTTGGTGAAGTGACTTGTGTTTTTCTGAACAGAAGGGAAATCTAGGAGAAATCTGTCCTTGAGAGAAGTTCCCTGAGTTACACTGTGTTAGAAGGCAGGGAGGATAATCACATGGGTTTCTTCGCCCCCCTCCCCCCCACCCCCCGACCATCTGTGAAATACCTTTGTCCAACTGTTTTCCCTAAGTTTTCCATCTAATTTTTTTCTTGCCTTTTTGCTCCAGAAAATGCCAACGGGGGATATTGAAGTGAAGGCGGAGACTGCAGAGATTCTAAACTCCTGCAAGAAGCTTCCTTTTGAAATCAAGGATTTTATCAAGGTGTCTGTGTTTTTTCTCTTTTTAGCAGAGTGGTGGCTTTTCAATAAATTGGGAATTTGCCCAGGGTGATGGCAAAACATCTGAGAGCTTCATCTGGTTCTCCCAGCTTTGCTTTGCGGGAAGGATGGTATTTAAAACAGGGGTACTGCTTCTTAGCTGTGAGGATGCATTTATAATTAGAGTTAAGCAGAAAACAAGGCTTGAATGATTCCAGTGCACAGGGTTTTCAAATACCACTGTAAGA